ACACTCTGGACAGGTGTAATCTTGGCTTATTATCGCAAGTGTTTTTGGTAGCACTATGAACCAGATTGGTATCCACCCCTTTGAATCAAAGTTGGATGGTTTACTTGGTTTCACCGTCCCCTTTTTCCCAAAGGTAGTAAGAAATTATCTTTATTCCTGCGCTTTGCTTAGGCATATCATCCTGTGACTTCTCTACTCCGTGAGAGCCCTAAGCAGGGAACTTTTAAAGACGCAGTCCTCCAGACCTTCAATGCCTCCAAGGCGGTACTTTCCAAAGTCAAGCTTTCATCTCATCACCCTCCAGGGGCACCTTTCAGTTCGACCGCTGATGCTTCTGACGTTGCCGCAGGTGCTTTCCTTCAAAAGCTCGTTGGCAATAGGTGAAAACCAGTAGAGTTCTTTACCCGTTGGTTCTCAGAAGCCGCTCAGCGCTATAACACTTTCAGTCGTGAGCTGCTGTTTGTGTATCTTGTTGTGCGTCACTCCCCTTGAATTACGTGAGTTTACAAGTTTCACCAACCACAAACCTTTACCGTTTGCTTTAAAATCCACAGGTACTCACTCAGAGGAGTCCACTATTTAAACTGTCTCCTAGGCATAAGATATTTCTGGAGCTGGCTGATACCTTGTATAACCGTTATCATCATCGACTTTGAACTCTTGGCAACTCTTCAACAGGCTGTCCACCTCTGAACTATGTCTTCCTTATAGCTTCATAGGATTCCTTTGCCCACTTCGAACTAGTCCATTCTTTGTGACGTCCCGCAACCGGAACCCAGACACCCGCTTCCTGGGCTGACGCAACTACTAGGTTTGGATGCTTCATTTGGGTTAGCACACCCCTGAGTGCGTCCTGCTCTAAAGGCGATAGGTCAATGTTACGTATAACTGTTAAATAAATGAAGTGCGTTTATAGGCAAGCACTTCTGAGGCCTTTCAAAAGGTCAGGAGTATCACCACACCTTCCCTCCCTTAGGTAACTTCGCATTCCGTAATGCATGATTCATTCATGGTCACCAAGTCTCCAGGGGTTCAACCATAACAACCAAACATTAGGAACAAGAGAAATTTATCAAAGTGGATATCTTTGCTTTTTACGAAAAGCTTCATATCTGAGTAGGACAGTCTACCTGGAGAGGTTGCACGAAGATCCAGTGTTATAACTTTTAAAGGGCATTAGTTGATTGTGCGGTGTTTTTATTTTCTGAAGCAGTTTGAAGTTGTGTAACTATTCCTTATGAGCTACGCTACCTAGGAGATAACACTACACACCACTTACTGCCTTTCAGGCAAAATCTCATGAGTCACAGTTTAGAAGACACAAGATCAACCGAGGACAAAACTATCTGAAAGTACGGGTGGCTTTTGCACACAACGTGCTGTTGAAGCTAAACTGAGCTGAAATTATCAGGGACAATATGACTGATTACCTCTCTCAACAGATAAGCAACTTTTTTTAAATGCATGTGCGAGCGAAGAAAAACATCGATAATCACACAAGGCATGAATAAATTCATAGGATTGCAGGAGCCGCAACAGGGGTCGATCTTGCCTCATTAATCTACCAGCATTTCTGGACCTCGAGGCAGAAAGGCTCGACGGAGGGAAATGAGTTGAAATCTGCTATTTAGACTAGTAAGGTCTTCGACTCTGTAAACCACCAACTGCTGCTCGGAAAACAAACGGCAAAGAGGATCTATCCTAAATTATTCAGGTGGACTGAGAGCTACCTCACGAGGAGTAAAAATTCCCAGTGGGGCTAACACACCTCACAATTCATAAAGAAGGAAATGCGCTACAGATATCAACTCCCACTCCACTGATCCTCTCTGATTGCTTGTTGATTCTCAGTTTTATTAGTTTCCCTTTTAGTAATTTTAAATAGCTGTCGATTCCGGAATCTGACTTGAATACTGCACGCTACCGAATCCACAAAACTATTTTGAGTTTTTTCTCCATGTAAAGGCGCTTTTTTATTGCCTTCTATCACGAAATCGCATTTTAACACCGACATGGTAAAATTTGTAGTGAGTCGGGTCTTTGTTTTGCTCTCTGTACTCCTTGATACGGAAGGCAAGTCAAGTCAAGTCAATGAATGGCTTCATACTTCTCGAGAGGTGGGTATTCAGCAATAGCATAACCATAGTGTGTCAACAAACAGTAGAAGAAAAACAATATAATACAACAAATAAAGAACGTGAAAAAGGACAGTAACAAAACGAAAAAACCAATGGCATGCCGGGGTGCTTATGATTTATTTATTTTAACGTTTTGCGCAGATTTCGTGTAGCGAATTCATGGTTTGTTAGAAATCTGACAAGATAAAGCACAATAGACCGCCTGTAAGCTTCAGTGTTTGTCTTTATAAGTTTGTGAGTAGAACGGGTGGATGAGTGAGAAAAGCGCTGACTGACGGTGGAAAATATCAAATGAAATCTTGTTGGAGAACGCTTTTCAGGACATAATGTGATGTGTCACCACCTACAGTTCCAGATATTCTCGTGATATAAGACTACAAACAAACAGAAATTTGAAGGATCGGGAAATGAGTTTGAGGTTCTTATTAAAAAAGACCAAGGAAGATAACAGGATACCCATAGATTCAGTGAGGCAAAACGCACGCAAAAGCAAAACGCTGTTTGGAATGGAAAGCAATTTAAAACGTAAAACATAGAACATGAGCCTCCTGTTCTTCAGGAAAACGTCATTAGCGTGGTCAGTCCAGGTGAGATTACGGTTGAAAATAATGCCAAGGTATTTGACAGACGGTTGTTGTTCCATCTGTTCACTGAGGATAGATAAAGACGGGCTGGCATTTGACAATTCATTATACTTTTGCCCTTTAAAAACGAAACAATTACGTAATTAAATTTTTTGGGGTTTGTGTGCAGGTTCCTTTGTTGAGACCACTCAACTTTTTCCGACACGTCCTCTTGTAGAGTGGCTTGCAATGATGAGTTGAGGTAGGGCAATCCAAATATTATATAGTCTGCATTTTCCACGAGAAGAGAGAATTGCTCACAGGCATAGAGGAAATGTAAGCAGAAAATAGAAAAGGGAATAAAATCGCTCCTTGTATTACACCTTTTGAGGAGGGCAGCAGTGAAAATTTATGACCTTTGTAGCGTGTGAACTGCTGACGGTTGGAGAAAAAGTTGGCCAGGAGTTCAATCGTAGAAGGTTGAACTCCCCCCGAAGATAGGGTATGTAACAAAGTTTGTCGATCAATTGTGTTGAAAGCATTGCTGTGGTCAATATAACATATGCATACAGCCTTGCTCTTCTTATCTAGGTTAGATAAAACAAAGTGGTACAGATAAGCAAGGCATCCAGGGTACCGCGGGAATGGGTGTATGCAAACTGGTTTGGGTCACCAACATTAAATTGTGTGGAGAGGGTCTTCAGGAAGGGCCTCTGAAACACTGACTACTGAGCTGCAGGCAGCGGGACAGAATTTTCAGGATTCTTTCTTCGGTGCATGGGTGATAGAGGCTATTATTCAGCAGTCGGGTATACGTTGTTGCGAAATACAATCATTGAAAAGTTCACTCAGTACAGGGAAAGGAAGACAGCACATTCTTTCGGCACAGCGGGTGAGACTCCGTCGGGGCTGCAGGACTTATGAGGATTTAATGGAGCCAACTCTTGATAAACATCGACAGGTGCAACGCTGGAAACGGGATCAGTGGTGATTATTTCATATTCATTAGGTAAAGCAGTGAGCGGTTTCAGCGTTGCTGAAGCTCTGATTCAGACCATCTATGTCCACTGCAGCAGGTGGGTGGTGTAAGGAATTGATGCCAGAAATTTGCATGAGGACTTGCCAGGCCTCACGACTACCTTTGTTGTCAAGCATAGCACGAGTGCACGGAGAGTTTAGCCGTCAAAGTTCAGCTTGGATGGATTTAGAAAGAGAGCGCACCCCTTCGTGCTGATGCATTTTGAAAGCACGCTCCTTTCTACGACGGAGTTGTTTGAGGTGTGAGGAAGAGAATCGATCGAGACGAATATAAATTGTCTCTAAGGGACAAAAGACATCATAACAAAAGTTTAGGTAGCCTGTTAATTGATCACAGAAAACGTAAGGGTTACGGTCAGAAAACAAAGTAAGGTCGGAGTGTTTGATCATTTCCCTTAACCTCGTGAGGTTTTCTGGAGAACGCTGTCTTGAAGCTTGTGATCACGACTTCCAGTAAAAAGACGATGGTTCGTTCTGCTAAAGATGGCAGGGTAAAAATTCAACATAGAATTATCAAACATTCCCCGTGGGGGGGCGGCGTTCTACAAGAAGTAAACTGGGAAGGTTGATAAAACCCAAATCCAGATGTACATCAAGCCTAGTGGGAAAGGTACCAATGTTTTAAAGGCCTTGGGTGCTTTAAGTAACGGGTATCGGAATTATTGATATCACCACAAATGATACAGACTGAAGTATCTACATATTCAATCAGTGTAGTTGAAAGAGAACCATAAAAATCATTAACAGCATGAGATGCGTAATAGGGGAATATATACACATTTACAAGAATAAGTGACCGAGAAAAGCGTAAATGTCTGGGGTAACATTGAATTGCTGATGCGTAACGTAATGTGTGCAATAAGAAAACACATTTTTGGTCAGATGACACCACTGATTTTTGACAAACGTGATGACGCCACCTCCCCGTCGGGAATAAGGAACAGGATGATTAACACGATAGCTAGCAAATCCATCCAGTTTTATTATTTCATCCTCAATTTCATTATGGACCCAACTTTCTAGCATGATCACACCTAGTTGGGCATATTTCCGTAGCTTGATTAAGCTGGTGAGATCAGCGGTACTCCAGATAAGAGATCGGGCGTTAGAACTGAGAATGATGATGATGATGATTCTGGAGTTCTATTCCATACTGCGTACTAGTTCGGTTGGAGCTTAATTGCGCGGATTAATGCGGTTCAATTCCTGATACCAAATACAGATTACCACATTTGGCGTCACGGCCGGTTTTTATCTCATTATGGACACCTGCAACTTAGAAATTCTCGATATTTATTCGAACTCGCGTTATGTAAAAGATTGTTTGGAGCGTTTTGAGATTTGGTGTTTCACCCGCAAAAGTCTGGACGCCGAGAAGAAGACAGCACATTTTCTGTCAGCTGTCGGGAAGGAAGCTTATGCGATGATTAAAAATTTGGCATTCCCAGAGTCACCAATACAACTGAAGTATGAAGAACTCAAGGATCTGTTACTAAAACACTTCGAGCCAGTCAACTTTGAAGCAACTGAGCGAGCGAAATTCCATTGCCTTGCTCGTGATCCTAATCAGTCTGTTCGAGGATTCATTCTTCAGTTGCAGACTCGGGCTGCAGGCTGTAATTTCAAAGATCAGCTTCAAACTCAGCTCCATGATAGACTTATTGCTGGAATTAACTGTTCTGAGCTACAGCAGCAGTTATTGTTGATTCCAAACTGCACATTTCAAACCGCAAAGGTGGTCTTGGAACAATATCAGGATGTACGTGCGGCCGTACGTGAGGAGCCAAAAGTATTGTTCAGTCACAATCGTGGGTCAGCGCTTGAAGCTCAACAGACGCGGCAGTTCAAAAGTGTCAACAAAGCTGGTAATTACAGTCCGACGCCCACGCAATCTGCAAATAATAACATTCGCCACTGGAACCCTTGCAAATCATGCGGTAGGCGACACTCTCGACTATCTCGTAAATTTCGCAATGCCAAGTGCCACAAGCGTGGTAAGTCTGGGTACCTCCAGTCTGTTTGTCGAGGCACACATAACTGTGTGACACATAACTTAGTCCCTGATGCATGCTTGCCTACCGACTTTTAGTCTCTTGCTCTATCCGTTAACAGTTCCAATCAGTCTCAACACATTACACGTACATTCACACTCAATCATTGTTTTCGGCATTCATTCATCATAGACACAGCCAGTGTGAATTCATTTATTTCAAAGACTGTTCTTCAACGTTTGAAACCACGTGTGTACCTAAACACCACTGACATTTCGCCGAAAGGTATAACTGGCCATAATCTTCCTGTTTTGGGTTTTTGTGAACTACTCCTTACTGATGATGAACAGTTTAGCACGGATACTATCGGGCTGAAGCTATGATGCGTCTACGTATTCAATCGTTTGGGCTTACGACGAGGTTTTCCAAGGCAAGAACGAATTGAGAAGGAAGCCGGGTACGAGCGTATGAAGTATATGTGACCTGCAGCAGAAAATGTACAGAGAGCGAAGCGCACGATACAACTCACCGGAAATTGTGCCACGGTCGAGGTCATAAGAGTTCTCAAAAAGGAGGACAATAAAACAAGATAGGGTCTTTATATTGATCACGGGAATGGCGATAGAAAATGAAAAGAATGTTACTACAACAGCACACATTCAATTGTTTATTTCTTGTTATTGATTCCAACATTTCCATTATTGTGAAACGTATGGAAATTCCTCTTTCATTTTTCGCTGATGATCAACAGTTTCGACTACGTCAGTTGGTTCTTAAATGCTCCAACAATAAGGGTGGAATTAAAATGGTCCCAATCNGACGATTTAGTTGAGAAGGGTGTTTTAACGCCTGTAGATTCTTCTGTTTGGGCTACCCCTATTGTGGTTTCGTTGAAACGTGATGGTAAAACGCCAGGAATTTGTGAGGATTACCGTATCACAGTCAACAGATACTCAAAACAAACTAGCTGCTCAACCATTGAGCCCGAAGATATCCTCCATCAATTTATTGGATCAAAATTCTTTTCCAAACTAAATTTAAAGGATGCATTTCTTCAGGCACCACTTGATGAGAATTCTAGCGCATTGACCAAAATTAATACATTGTTTGGTCTATTTCGTTAAAACGTTTTGTCATTTGGTCTCAGTATTTCACCTGCTATATTTCAAAATGTTGAGAATTCTCTTATTTCCGGTTTGGATGGAGTTTCAGCTTACCAAGATGACATTATCGTTCATGCACCACCCAAACAACTACACGATAAGCGACTGTGCTTACTGCTTGAACGGTTCAATATCCATAATGTTGCTTTCAATGCAAATAAATGTACATTTTCTACACCAAAATTTCCCTGTTTGGATTTTCTTGTTGATGAACATGGTTTCCGTCATGATCCTACTCGTTTTTCTTCTTTTTCTAATGCACCTTCTCCCAAGTCAGTTAAAGAACTTCGTTCAGTACTCGGTTCACTTCAGTATTATTCTAGATTCATTCCAGATATTTCCACAAAAGCACAGC